TTAAATTTCCTAAAAAAATTGTTATTAACTACTATATCAACTTATTAATAGTATTACAGAATTTGTTAACTATATTATTGAAGTTTTAAAGATATCACTTTTTGAATTTAAAAAAAAAAAAGTGTTGTTAACTACTATATGTTAAACTTGTTAGCAGTATTAAAGAACTTGTTAATTTTATTACTATGATTGCAAAAATCCCCAAAAAATAATTACCAGCTGTTGGCTAGCCGGTGAAGGTGCTTGGTTTTTTTTTTTTGTTTTAAAAAAGGGCAATATTATTATTTTAGCATATTTATATATCCCAATTTAGTCACTTATATCTAAACTGAAATTCTACTTATTTAAGTGATCATTTAGAAATTTTAAAATTTATGAATTATTTTTCTGTCATTTTTCCACAATGCCAAATACTAATTAAGAAGAAACTCTATTGGAGTTTTTTCTTTAGATTTTTAACAGACGAAAAGGAAAAACTTGTTCCAAATAAAATTCATAATGTATTTTACAATAAACATGTCACAGAATTTTTGCTCTACGATAAAATGTTTTCCTCGCAAATTTCATACAATTTTCAGATTTATTGTAAATTTTACACCATAATTTAATTTAGAATGTTAAGACGCTGGGCCTTGAAATTTTAAGACAAATCCAATTTTTTTAAAGAAAAATTGCCCACATATGGCTGTTTAGAGAATTAATTGTTCACCGCCCTTGAATTCATCATTATATATTTTTATGTCGTAAAGTTTTCAAATTTAAAGGATCATTGGGTAATTAATTCTCCAAACAGTTATTTATGAGTTATTTTTCCCTTTCTATGTGTTTATTTGATACTACCTCCGGTCCTTATTATAAGACCCCGTTTGACTTTTTGTTTGGTCCTAATTATAAGACCCCTATCCATTTTGTCTCTCATATTTATGCATTTTTTTCCAAGATAATCATTCTAATAATGATAGTTCTAGCCAATATACTTAATTAGCAAGGATATTTTAGGAATGACAACACTTATTTATTACAAATAACTAACTTAACTTACTTCCTTAATCTCCTCAAATAGGTCAACTGGGTCTTATAATTAGGACCGGAGGTAGTATATAATATTATCATAATATATGAATCATATCAAGTTCAATTGAGAGCAGCTCTCTCACAGTCTCTTTTTAATCCATAAAGTTTGATTCATCAACCTTGTTCAGGAGAAATTGATTCATTTGCCGTAAATCCAGTTAATACTAATAATTCCATTCCTTAATTATAATTATAAACCATCAAAGTCAACATATTCCTATAGTGCGCATGTTTAGGTGTCTGTTTTGCATAAATAAACCCCACATTCACTCGGAGAATCTTCTTTTTAGTTGCATCTAATATCTAACAATAATTTTTTGGTGCATTTAATACCAAGGGAAAAAAATATTTTACGATGCTGAACACACGCAAAAAATATCTCAGAGTATTAAATGCATCACAAAATATTTTGAAGTGTTGAATGTACTTAAAAAAAAATATTTCAGCATGTTAGATATATTCTCACTTTTTAGTAAATTGAGAAATTACTTTTACGTGAGAAAAAGACAGAAAAGGAAAGTGAGGATTCAGGAAAATATATATTGATATATAAATAAAAATTAGAGGAAAATAAAAGGAGAACTGGAGGAAAAACACAAAAAGGAAAAAGAAGGGAAGAAAAGAAGCACACGGGGGGCTGAAGGAAGAAAGGGAATGAAGGAATGGAAGGAGCTAAAGCGAAAACAAGTCTGTGCTATTATCTGTCTCTGTTTAATGTTTGTCATGTGAATGCCTTTTGCGGCGCCTTGTTTGTAGCCCACTCATAGGGTGGCGCGGGTGGCGCTCCTACGCAACCACACCTTCCCCTCCATTTTCTCTGCTAGTGCCATTTTTCGCCAGGCGCACGTATCGCGTTATTGAAATCAGTTCTGCTCGAGTTATTCTTACTAAGCTCACCATGCCATTCATGCACATTATAGTACTCCTTCTTTTTTAAGGAAAGTATTTTTGGAATAATTTACTATTATTATTGTACTACTTCCGGTCCTAATTATAAGAGCTATTTGACTAATTTGAAGAAATTAACAAAAGAAGCTAAGTTAGTTATTTGTCATAAATAGGTAGTATCTTTCCTAAAATATTCTTACTAATTAAATGTATTGGTTAAATTACTATTATTAGAAGGACTATCTTATAAAAAATACATAAATATGAAAGATAAAGTGGATTGGAATCTTATATTTAAAATCAAAATCAAATAAGATCTTATATTAAAGATAGGAGGTAATAATATTTTTAGAGGCATTGAATGAGGGACAATTTTTGCGATAATATCTTATTTTTATTGCATCTCTTAATTTGTGTGCAGAGTCTTAAATGACAGGTATAATGAAACAAGGGAAGGGAAGGGAAGGGAAGGGAGTGTGGGTGTGAAGTATGAAAAGAAATGAATAACAATAGTCATATGGTTTTAAAAGACTGAATTAACGTTGTTGGCCCGGAAAAAAAAAAAAACAGAGTGAATTAATGTTAATTAAGTTTTCCACAATTGTATTTTGAAAAATTAGTCGCAATTATGACTTGTCTGTATTCGTGAGAGATATTTTGAGGTTGTCTCCATTTTTTTTTTTTAGTTTCTCACTGTTTTCAATTGATTTTAATCAATTTTGTAATTAACATGATTCAGTTAATTGTCTCTTATGGAAAAGAACCAATTGAATAATTAAATACTTAAGAGTTTTCATTGCAAATGAGACGTTTGGGTTCTACATATAACTTTTAGTTTGTAATTAATATTTCTGTTTACCATTTATAATTTTTCAGATATTATAACTTTAAATGAATTTTATATATTATATTAATATCAATATTGCTTTCTCTTGTGAAGGGCAAGAACATTAAAAAAAAAAAAAAATCTAACTTTCATACCATACATATTCTTTACAACAATTTCAAGACCTGCTGAAGAGAAAGATAAAAAGAATAACTAAGAAAGTGATTAAAAAAAACAGAAATAATGAGCATTTAAAAAGGAGTGGGCCTATTAATGAGAGGTGTATGTATATTGTGGAGTGTGAGAACACAGCAGCATTATCTGTAAATAAATACCCATCTGGTGCTATTTATAAAATAGAGTGAAGATGTTTTTTAATTCTATTTATAAAAACTTTTTATATAAATATATAATTTTATCTCTCATTTATTATTATATTGACTTTGTTTAGATGAGATATAATGTATATTAAATATGAATAAAATTGGAAAGTTGTTATAGTAGTATTTTAAATGAGAGTTATTGAAATTTAAGGTTTTTCTTGATTTATATAAAATATGTAAAAAATGTCTTATAAATAGGACCAGAGGAGTATATTTTTGTATAATTTTTTATAATCTTTTTTTAAAATATTTTTTATTAACTAGTGAAATCGAACTCAATTTGTGGCCTACTGTTAAAATTGCTCTTCTTTTCTTTTTTACCTTGACTGTTAAAATTGCTCTGAACTTTACATGATTATCAAAAGGTCAAATTACATCACGCCTCTCTCAACTTTAAATCATATACAAATAATTTCTCTGATCTTTAAAACGTAATAATAAATTTACATGACCTTTTAAATTTATGTGGATAAATCCTAACATTCAATAATGTGCCCTTTAATATTATATTTTTATGTGTACATAATCTCTTCGTACTTTGATTTGTGTATATAAATTTCCTAAACTTTAATATATGCGCGGATAAATGATCAACAAATTTACTAGTAAAAAAAGTATCCGCATACATATAAAAATTTAGGAAATTTATTCTAAAGTTTCAAAGTTTATATATAACATAAAGTGGGGAGTTATGTACAAGGGAGAATTTTAAAAATATCTTTAAATTTTAAAATTTCAAATCAGTATTATTTATTATATTTTAATAATAATTGACAACATTTAAAAAATAAATGATAACATATTTTTGCAGTATTTGAAATTTTGAAATGTTAGATGTGTATAATTTCACCCATCATATTGGAAGAACCAGCGCTTAGTCGTCCAGTTCAAAGATTTTTTTTAATTTTTTAATTGTCAATACAAAATAACATCATTGAGGGATAGTTTTTTCTTTAAATATTATGGAGTACAACCATTATCCTGACACATTATTATTAACAATTATATATTTGCTTAATAAATACTATGGTGATATATTTATAGTTAATTAATTTAAATTCAATACTCATTAAGATTGAATATTAGTGTTAAATTGTCGGAACTTCTAGCCAAACAAACACCATACACATACCTTAGTTATAATAAAAAATATCTAAATGTTAAATTATAACACTTCTTAGTAACAATTTTTTTAAAAAATTCAATATAAAATTTTAATGTATAAAATAACAAATATATTAATTTTATTAGCACCTTCAATTAAAATTAAATACATGCATGAACTTATCTGACTCAATATCCAAACCATTCAATTCATACTAATCCTTTCCATGAGAAAGCCAGTAAATACAGAATGCGCCTAATCCTAATTTACGGATTTGGATTCTGTGCAGACCTCTGCGTGACCTATAAAAGATAAAGATGAAAGAATGTAAATGATCAGCCGAGGGAATGCAGAACCTCACTCACATCTTGTCTTTTTCTTTTCTTCCTTCCTTTTCCTTTCATTTCACAAAGTCCATCACATAAGCAAATTTGCACAGTAGCTCCATTCTTTTGAAGTGTCATGCTCCTAGGCCACCCTAGCCAGCCTGCACTATAAATGGAAGCCACTAGAGTGAAATTGTGGAGAACCAAAATCTGAATAGGGGGTTAGCCATTTGAGAGGAGCAAGAGGAGAGAGATTTTTACTGCTACAGCTAAAGGAAAGGGGGGAAAATTTGATTTTTACGGCGTTTCGATCCGAAATCCCTCACAAATCTCGCCTTGAAACTTGCTACATCTTTTATTCCCCAAGTCCTAACGTTCGTCTTCCGTCCCTCCTTGTCCCTCTCTCTCCCTCTACTCCGTTGAAAAGTTTTGACATTGCTGTTTTATGCTTCAGTTTTAACTCCTTTGATTAGTATATTTTAATATTTCATAGATCATATTACTCTTTCCCTCATCAGCATCTCTCTCTTTGGTTTGCTGGTTTCAACTTCAATGGCATAGTGCTTTGGTTCAGAGCAGCCATGGAGTTTTCTCGATTCGATCAAGTTGACCCAGATCTTCAATTTGTTTGGCTCTGCTAAAGTGTTTTCCTTTTTTGACTGAGAGCTGGCTTCGTGGCAACCCATTAATCATCATTTTGATATCTGAAGGGTGATATCAAAATCTTTTTCTAGAAAGGAGATCAGAAATGTTGACCTGCATTGCGTGTTCCAAGCAGCTTAATGACAAGAGATCTCTTCCCCAACAAGATGAGCACGAAGAAGCTGTGGATACACCCAGCACCAAGCAGGCCATTAAGGCCCTCACAGCGCAGGTAATTCTCTTAAGTGGTCCGAAAATTTCAACTCTTGAATCATGTATTTTTTCGTTTTTTTAATTTTTCTTGAAGCTCTTAATGGCACCCGAAAACACACTTTCGGAGCTAGTGGTTTCTGTTCCATTCTCTAGTTCTTGAAATTTCAATCTAGTGCTGAACCCAATATATATTTTTGTTGGCGATTTTATACAAATTTGATGTTTAGATCAAGGACATGGCGGTGAAGGCTTCTGGGGCATATAGAAATTGCAAGCCTTGTTCAGGATCTTCAAATGGTAACAGGAACCATAACTATGCTGATTCTGATATGGCTTCAGAATCAGCGAGATTTCACTGGGCGTACAAAAGGACTGGTAGCTCCAACTCAACCCCCAGGCTTTGGGGAAAGGAGATGGAGGCGAGACTGAAGGGGCTCTCTAGTGGGGAAGGAACGCCGGCGTCGGTGAGTGGCCGGACTGAGTCGGTGGTGTTCATGGAGGAGGATGAGCCCAAGGAATGGGTTGCTCAAGTAGAGCCTGGTGTGCTTATCACTTTCGTTTCGTTGCCTCAAGGTGGGAATGATCTGAAACGAATACGGTTCAGGTACATTGTCTTGCTGTTTGTTGTCCTAGGCTTAAAATTTTTTTTTTTTTGGGCCAACGTCCTGTACTTCAAATTAAACTTTATATCATAAACAATCTATCCGTATCAGTTCCCAATTATCATTAACTGATTTTTGAGGAAGTATATCAAAAAGATGTTGATGTCAGTTCTGAGAGCAAAATTTTATTAGAATTGACAGCATGATTCAGTATCTCGACCTGTTTGGAAATATATGGCTGACTTGGCGAGTTTTCACGCGGAAAAATAAAAAACGAGTTTATTTATTAGCATAAGAAGCTTACCATTTTGAAGCAGAGCTTGTTAGGAGCAGACTCAAAGCTATGGCAAATGACCAAGTCAGTCACTGATATTCCATCTGAGGGCATGTTGGGTTACATAGGCAACTCTGTTAAGTTAACGAATGATCTATTTGATGTACGTCTTAAAATGTCGATTGATATGTTGGTAATTAATTTGAAGTACTAAATTGATGGTAGTGCCTGGTGAAATTTTTTGAGGGACTGATATTTACTCAACATCTACATTTGCTTATGTTTTGATGTTCTACGTGTCCAATATCTGTGAAGTGTTTTTATTGGCTTATCACATGCCTTGGGATCCCTTAGAGGCGAACTAGCTTTTAATAAGTAGTGTAACTTTGTCCTTTGCGGTACTTTATAAACTTTCTCTTGTTGATCTTGCGATTGAGGACAAGTTTGTTTGAGAGTGATGATCACATGCTTTTAAAGCCTGTTCAGATTCTGCACTAGCAGAAGCTGTCTTGTTTGCATAGTAACTTCTTGGTGTGGCTTTGGCTTTGTTCAATTATCAGTAAGTCATTCTAGAATTATTGTAGTAGAAATGGGAAAAAGCAAAAAGCTTTGTTATCTTCTAGCCGTGGTGATTTAAACTCACTCTTTTCTGCCCACGAAAAGAAAAAGTAAAGAAGAAAAGAAAGAGGACAAGAAAAAGTAAAGGAAGCTATGCAAAAAGAAAAAAAAGAGAGAGAGGCCTGGTTGGTTTTGTACCACAGTAGCACTCATGGCGTGAAATAATTGAATAGAGATGAGAACTTAATTCAAGTACTGTTTGAATGATTTGGAAGAGCAAGCAATTTTTCTTTTTTGGGGTGCTTTTAAAGGATCAACATCTAGAAGTTTGTTGTTTTACCTTTTGGCTCTTCTATCCTCCTTGAAAGTTTTAGGGTATGACATGATCCATAACGATGATTTAAGTGGTAACTTTTATTGAGTATTGGTCATCTATTGACCCTAGGTAGTGGGTCTTCAAGCTGATTAATGAGGCTTAGAAATTTATGCAAAGAAATACCTAATCTCAGTTGATTTTTTTTTTTTTGTTCAGTGGTGGATTACTAATTATCATTTTATAAATTTGATCAGCCGGGAAATGTTTAATAAATGGCAAGCTCAGAGGTGGTGGGCTGAGAATTATGACAAGGTCATGGAGTTATACAACGTTCAAAGGTTCAATGAACAAGTAGGTCCTCTGCCAACCCCACCGAGATCCGAGGATGAGGTGAGCATTCACCATTCTGTATTTTGATGAATGAGTAAACAAATGCCTTAAGGCATTTAGTTTCATGCAAAGCTCGAAGCCATTTCTAATTGTGATATCCATAAAAAAGGATAGTACCTCGATCTTGAATGATTGGGAAGTGAGTGAACTTCAGCTTCCTGTAACAGACCCTGTTAATTGTGGTACTAGATTGTTGCCTTATGTGTTTACTCTAGCGGTTGGTGGGAAATCTTGTATGTTAGGGAATTAGCTAGAATGATAATGTTTACATTGTAATTAAAGAACCTCCATTTTTCCCCCAGAGCTCGAAGATTGAATCTGTTAGGGACAGCCCTGTCACGCCTCCTCTTAACAAAGAGCGTCCACCCCATCATCTTCTTCACCGCCAAATGGGAATGGGATACTCTTCATCGGATTCACTGGATCTTCACCACACAATGCTACAACGCCCATGCTATGAAACAAGTGGCTTAGCTTCGACACCTAAACTTTCTGGCATCAGTGGAGCAAAGACTGAAACATCATCCTTAGATGGTTCTGTGAGGACTAGTTCATCAAGAGAGGGAGACCAGTCGGGTGAGCTTTCACTCAGCAATGCCAGTGATATGGAGACTGAATGGGTTGAACAGGATGAACCAGGAGTATACATCACCATCAGAGCACTGCCAGGGGGTGCCAGAGAACTCAGGCGTGTCCGGTTCAGGTATACAAATCCATTACCTGGGTGGTTAAACACTGGGAGAATAACTTTGAGGTCCCAAGAAAGGAATGTAATTATTAAAAAGTCCCACAAGAGCATAATGCAATGACAAGTTCCTGTACACAAAATGGCAACAGGTCCATGTTGTGGACTTGTTATTAGTGCTTTTGGATGATTACATTCCTTCCTTGGGATGTAAATAGTGACTCCACCTTAAACATTTTTTGTCGTTTTGGCTGTTCTTTCCATGGCATATTACTTGTATTTGGCAGAACAATTAAGAATCATCATAGCAGTGATCACATTAATATCTTTAAAAGTAATCAGCATCATGCATAATCATGATAATTTAAACTTTAGTTAGCTTTGTACATTATTTTGATGCAGCCGAGAAAGGTTTGGAGAAATGCACGCGAGGTTGTGGTGGGAGGAGAACCGGGCAAGGATACAGGAGCAATATTTGTGATCATACAGGCAGTTTCAGCAGGCTAACAGGATGAGGAAGTACAGCAAGAAACCAAATACATATAGATGTTGGGGGGATGGATAGAGGCGTATTGTGTATTCTTAGGTCCTGTTACTTTTTCTTTTTATATTCTTCGGTGGATAAAAAATGTTGAGCAAGTGACTTAGTCGCTGTAACTTAGTTAACAGTGGAATCTGTACTTCACTGTGGCTATGACAAGATGCTGATAGCAGGAAAAATAACTTGCAGCACAGTGAAATTTTAGCCAATAGTGGAACTTGTGTGGGTATGGTTAAATGCTTTCTCTTCATCATATATCATCAACTTTAATCTTTGTCGTTCTGGTATATTCATTTTCATTTGGTGAAAAATATGTTCATCCAAAATATTGGTCTTTCGGAGAAGCACTTAATGCTGCGAAATCTGCTAATAGTATGAACATGGTATGAGAAAGATTTGACTCTAATATCATATAGGGATGTTTTAATCATTCATTTATAAGACCGAAAGATAAGTTTAAGATAAGTGCGATTTTGTTGTCGCTAGGAAAATACAAACCTGTGCTTTCTCCAATTCACCCATAGAGAAGCTTCTCAGCGCATACAAAGTAATAACAAACATAACTGTGCTGATTAGCTTGTCACATCCAATAAATTTCTCATCATAAAATCAAAGTCGGATGTCAAAATAATTGAACAATATAATTGTAAATAATATGATTTCTTATAAATTTTACAGCAAGGTATATTTATTTGGGAAAATCTCAGAAAAAGCTCTTGAAATATACAAAATCCTAGATTGGGTCTTTAAATTTCGAAAATGACAGAATGGGTCATTAACCCAATCTGTCATTTGTGAAATTAAGGCGAATGACAATTTTGCCCCTGACTAAGTAAAAATGAGTAGTTATTCTCTAAACAAATCTAGGTAACGCTTACACTGTTCTAGTGATTACAAGATTAGTTGTAGTTAATAATAAGGTACCTGACAATAATAAGATACCTGACTATATATGAAAAATGAGTAGTTATTCTCTATACAAATCTAGGTAATGCTTATATTGTTCTAGTGATTACAAAATTAGTTGTAATTAATAACAAAACACCTGACTATGAAAAAGTGAGTAGTTATTCGTTACACGAATCTAGGTAACACTTAAACCCTTATGGTGATTCCTTAAATCATTGTAGTGAATGAATGCAAATGAGGGTAAAGTTGTCAATTCCTCTTAATTTGACAAATGACACATTGGGTCACTGACCCATTCTGTCATTTCTGAAATTCCAGGACCCAATCTGGAATTTCCCATATTCCAAGAACTTTTTTTGGGATTTTTCCTATTTTTTTACTTGTTGGAAGGGATTTGGACTGTTTTGTTCTTCTCTTTTAATATGCAAATTTGATTATATGTGTGTAAAATTGCATAATTATCGAAGGGTTAAAATAAATATTATAAAAATAATCTTATAGATAATATCAAATTTAAAATCTATTATGTAAGCTAAAAACTAGGTTACACGACTAAGAGAAGGATGTGGCCTAAATTAATGGTCTCGAGTTAAAGCACTAAGCATACAATTTTTCTGGGGGAAAAATAAAAAAATTAAAAATTTCAAATAAACTACCGGCATTATCAATAAGTTAGGTTTTGTAAAAGAGACTAGTCTCTCATAATATAATATTCTAAGGTTAGAATCCCATGATAGATGCACTTATTAAAAAACAAAGTTACAAAGTGTCTATTAAAAATAGGGTTAATACAAATTTTAGTCCCCTAAATTTAGGTCTATTTTGATACTAGTTTGTAGAATTTCAAACATGTGATATTGGTTTATGAAATTATGTCCGTTTCATACTGTTGGTTATTAGCTTCTTGACACTGTTAAATTCTTATGAGATGACATTAACGCTGATAAATTGATGAGGTGGGCACATAGGGCGCTCATATGTGTCTTGATGACCTGTACGTATTAAAGTTGAAAGGAAAAAAAAAAAAACCACCAAAAGATGCTAAATGCACTGACAATAGAGCCAAACACACCCACGCGCACAGATGCTTGAAGAAAAAACATAAGGGAAAGGGCTAAGTCAAGAGGACTCCCTTGGTGCTGGTGATTACTAACGTGGCCGTCGTCAAACGAGTGGGTTAACCAACGGCTATCGTGGGAAGAAGTTGTACGAGTAATTTTTGTTTACTTCTCTCCCTTGAAAGGTGACGAAGATTCCGTAAACCGTTGTTTAGCATTGTGTTCGAACCATTTGTGTTGAAAGGTAAGTGCTACAATTTTCAAAGAAAGATGAGCCTGTAAATAATATTGATTGAAAGTTCCCTCGTCTTCATCTGGCATCCTGTTCGAAAAAGTCATCACATTAGGGTTATATTCTGCATTTGAGTTTAACCGAGTAAATATTTCATTTTAAATGCTTCTGTGGTCAGTTTTTGCGGGTGCTCTGTTTTGATTTGTTTGTTGAACCCATTGGTATGAGGTTTAAGAAACTGTGTATATGATTTCTCTGTGTTGCTGTTTGTTCAAGTGATTTCGTCTGTGGGTATAATGTTGTTCCTGAACAATGGGTATGGCTCTTACTTTGTTTAAATTGTGTTCTGTTTTTTAACACCATATCTAAGCAAGCTTTCCTCTCTTATTCGCTCAAGCCACCCCAGATATACAGAGAGTTGCCTCATGTATTATGCAAAGAACTACGTTTCAACTACGTTTCAAGTGCTTTAAGACTGAGTCAAAGGTCAGTAATGTCGTAATCATTCTCGTCCTTGTCCGTAGCTGTAGAGGCAGAACAAAAAGAGCTGATGGAGTTTATACTCTCCAGTCTATCCCCGAAGAAGAGCCCTGGGTCCTCTACAACAACTAGGCATCTTTTTGTATTATTGCGAATGACCAATATATTGGATGTTTCCAAATCCGGCAAAGATGCACTTGAGAAGAAGATAGGATTGCAGCTCGAAGGAGCCACACTAGGTGATCTTCTCATACTGAGCTATTCCTACCTTAATAAAACAATCTACAAAGTAAATTATATGTAGAGAATTCTGACCTATTTCTTGACTGGTTTAAAAGAAAGAAACACTGCTGTAATGGATGGTGACGACGGTGTCACCATATTGCCAGCGTAAATGGTTGTTGGGACGCTTCTACAAATAAAGAATGACAATGAATAATATGAGGCACCTAAAACTAGTCTGCAACAAAATTCCATACGCTACAAAACAATGTTTTAATAAGATGTGGAAATGCCTCTTTTTTTTTTTAATGCCAAAACATGGGAGGTCGTCCTTCATTTTTCATTCATATAACGGTGTTAATGCCATCTCATCTCAGAAGAATTTAAAAGTTTCAAGAGGCCAAGGACCAATAGTTTGAAATAGATATAATTTCAGAGTCCAATACCACGTGTTTGAAATTTCAGGAACCAATACTAAAATAGGTCTAAATTTGAGGGACCAAAATTTACATTAACTCTTAAAAATACCATGTTATTTGTAGATACAATCTCTTGTTTCCTTTTTTGCCAACAATAAAAAATTCTCTTATAAATAGCATTCAAGGGAGTAACAAGTTAAACGCTTTTATTGATACTCACACCGGCAAAAATTATGGACATAATAATTACAGTTAAATGCTGGCAAAAAAATAATTACAATTAAATCTTGGCAAAAAAATAATTACAATTAAGTGAGCAAAATTATCAACTTTATAAATTGTTTCAATTTTTTTTTATCTTTTCCTTTATTCGCGTGGAAGGATATACTAAAATGTGGTAGATACCAAATGTATATACCATAAAATTCCAAATTTGCTATCTCCGAACTCCGAAGGGATTCGCGGGGTAAGATTCACATGTACTTTTGTTTAGATCATGGGCCAGTTCTTAGCAAATCCTTCACTTTTTGTTACTCACTCAGTTCATGAATGGAAAAAGCAATGGCATTTTCGTGGTTTCGATGAAACCCCGAGGGCATATTAACTTATTAAACACGAGACTTTCCCTCGATAGTCTCTGAGAGGTAAACCGGTTTCAAAACCCTCGTCCCTCTTCGCTCCCAAACCCCTTCTCTTCCATTCTGAAGCCGCTTTCCAGTCTTTGGCCTTCGAATGCGAACCCTACCCATTTCTTCTTTCTTATCTATATTATCTTCTTCGGTTTCAAGGTTTGATTTTTAGCTAGGCGCCTAGTTTTTTACTCTAGGTTTTCGCAGTATTGCCTGCTATGGTGTCTAGCTCCAGAATGGATAGTAGCACACCACCAGCTTTTTCTGCCAGACTGCGCAAAACCATCCAATCCATTAAAGAAATTGTGGGTAACCATTCTGATGCTGATATTTATGTGGCCCTTAAGGAGGCCAACATGGATCCTAATGAAACCACGCAGAAACTGCTCAACCAAGGTGGGCACGATGATTTTGGCTGAGCTTTCAAGTGGTTTGTCTTTCATTAATATTTTAGGTCAATGAGGGTCTTTTTTGTTTGTTTGTTTACCTTAGTTTTCTGGACTGACGGGTTTTTGGGGTTATCAAGTAGTACTTTAATGGATACAGGGGCTGTCGTGTTTAAAAAACATTCATATATCAGCCACATTTTCCAATCGAAGTTAGCGACGCAACAACTATTATCTGACAGTTATATAATGCCGTGGAGTTTGATCTTTCGGTATCTGACATCCTTTTGTTGTGGCGAAGTATTTCTTTTGCAAAAGCAATGTTCTTTGATTGCTCATTATTGTACATATGTGAATGTTTATATATATGTAACTTAGTCTGGGCGCTGAAATTGCCTATGCATTATCCTCTTTAAGTAATGATTGATCGTTTGCTCACAATTCTTCCCTTCTAAAAACTTGATAAGGAAAGGATAGAATCCTCTGTAACCTAGCATGTGTTTGATGTGATTGAATTTTTGAACTTCAAGCCTTTGATTTTATCATTAATATGCTGCTTTAAGTTATATTACGTTTGTGAGGTAAAAAATCATTGACTTCTATTGCTTAAATTTCCCAGTATGCTATATGAACCTTTTGAAAGACATTTGTATATTGCATTTTATCTTGTTCATGCCAACAGACATGTAAGTTAATACTTATACCTCCCTGCGCTGCAGCCTGGATATCCCTGTTGGTCTAAGCTTGTTTTCAATAATCACTATAAGATGTCGTCACGCTTTTACATTCTTATGGATGGGGAAGACCAAAAGTAATTGTTGAATTTGTATAAAAGTTTCAGGTTGATCAGTATTGAAGTTTGAAATAGTATAATATTTCTAGTGATTCATTTATGCGTATATACCAATAGGTATAATTATGTGGGGCTGTTTTGTTTCGTAATTGTAAGTGAACTAGGTTTCCATTATGTTACTATGAGGTCTGGGTGTTATGGCATTTAATGCAATTTGTTCGTGGTTATATAATTCTTACCAGTATTCATACAAAGTTATGATCGTGAGTAGCTTGTGCTACACTAGTTCTGCTCTGTATCAATTTATGTATCTCATTGTAACTGTTTCTTATAACACTGGACACCTGTTCTTAACATTTTTTATAACACTGCACTTGTTATGTCATATGTGCCTCTTCCTATTTATTCAAGTTGTTTTTTGATTATGACTTGGAGTAATAATTGATTGAAAGAAATTAAAAGTTGATATTTTGTTGTCTGAAGTACATTGTGACTTAATTGTTCAGATACATTCCATGAAGTGAAGAGAAGAAGAGACAGAAAGAAAGAGGTATAACCTCCTCTACCTATTTTTGCTTCTTACTATATTAGGATGCACAGTAGAGAGTATGGTTCTTGATGAATAGTTTATTGAAAAGAATTTATTTGCAGCCTCAAAGTGTTGGATTCAAGGCTACATCTGAACCACAAAGACGTACTGATGACATTGGTCGCAGAATGAAGTCTCATGCTCCTCCTGAACGTGGTGCTCGTAGAATAAACTATTCTCGAAATACTTTACCTGGTAATCTTCATATTTCACTTTTTGGGAGGTAATCATCATTCTATCTGAGTTCATAGAACATGCATGGAAATGTGAGTGTTTCTGAAGTTTTGTAGGCTAAAATCTAATGAGTTAGTTAAATATTTTTATTATGTATCACTGAGTTTCATTGCATATTTTGTGTATATAATCTCCCGCGGCAAATTTTCATCTTTATAACTTCTTAAATAAATAAGGGATCCTTGGTTATGTTATATCTGTGTGATCATTAGCATCAGTGTTCTAGCTGATGATTAAATGCCTACTAACTGTTCAGGCATCAGCAGAGAGTTTCGTGTTGTGAGAGACAATAGAGCAAATCATGTATATAAAGAAGTGAAGCCTCCTTCAGTTCAACTTTCAACATCCGCCAACAAGCAATTAAATTCATCCGAGAAAGGGTACATTTTAATATTAAATGGGCTGGATTATGTTGTTTAACTGTCTTGATTGCCTATCTGATTTTATTAATAATGCATAAATGAATCCCTTGCCTTGCGCATGGCAATTATGTCTGGTTTACGATTTTTGATGTCCGGAGCTACGTCTCTGCTTGTGGTGTCACCTCAGTTGTGAGGAAAATTTTTACCAAAGAAAGGTCTTTTGAAGAAAGACTACAACAATGTTTTTCATGGGCTGTATTTAACAGTGGATTACTGTCTTGAACTGCTTTTAATTAACTATTATATCACTAAATGTCTAGATGCCAATATTCTTTTATCCTTTTCTGATGTATCCATTTGCCCACATGATTTCACTTTATAAGGAAGTTATTTGTGCCTTAATTCTGTATTATATTTTTGACAGCTCATCAGCAGATTCCAGCAATCGAAAGTCATATGTTGCTAGAAAGTCATCTCAGGTTCCAAATGGTCCTTCTGATTCACATACTCGATACTCAGATGATGCTGTTTCTAATGCCATTGACAGACAAGGTTCATCTGAGGAGAAGCAAGGTATGACTCCAAATACAGCACTGCAGTCGCAACCAGTTAAGCCCAGCAATGTCCATCAAAATTCTGTGACAGTGGCATCAGCTAGTTCTGCTGTTGGAGTATATTCCTCTTCCACAGATCCAGTTCATGTTCCTTCTCCTGATTCCAGAGCATCAGGTGCTGTTGGAGCTATTGGGCGTGAAGTAGGGGTTGTTGGTGTTCGGCGACATTCTTCAGACAACTCATTGAAACAATCATCTGTTCCTAGTAGTTCTTTTGCTAATTCACTTGTGGGAAAAGATGGTACCTCTACAAATTCATTTCAATCATTTAATACTATCTCAAAGACTGAACAGTTTAGTGAAACTAATGTAATTGAACCTTCATTCCCCGGCATGCCAGTTAGCAGATCATTCTTGAACAATCAGTATAACAATAGGCAACATCAGCAATCTGTGGGGCATCAGAGAGGTATATTTCTGTTTGGAGCAACCATGTCATGGTGCCCATTCTATTGTGATTGTGACTTTTTTTTAATGGGAAAGATCTTCAAGAGATCGCTTTGTTAGATTGTTAGAATGCTTCTGAATTGTAAATTTCTTCTATTTTGGAGTGGGGCTTGTGGTTTTGTGATGTGATTGTACTCACAAATAATCAATAATTATGGATTATCAATGAAGGCTTGGAGTTTAGTGACTTTTCATCTCTTTGCAATGTTATCTGAGAATTTGGAGTCTAGTTTTTGTGTAGGTTTCGCAATGATTTCTTGTGATTTACTTACAATAGGACTTATTGGCCTTGGGAGATTGCCATCTATTACGAATATGATATATTCAGTGAAAAAGTTGTGATTTTTATTGTTGTTTCAGTTGCTTTTATAGCTGATTCTTTGGTTACTGTCCTACATCACTCCAGTTTATCTACTGATTGTTATTGCTTTTAATTTGTTTGTACATGTTATTTGTTGCCTTTTGTTCACTCTCTTCTATGAGATGGTTTTTATATTTATTACGGATGTATCCTTACCATTTCATTTTTACTGTTTGTTCTAAATGTTTAATTTAATATGAGATCCCAGGATATGCATCTGATTTGTATTAGTTTTGAGTTTTAATGCAGTATCACAGCACAATAAAGAGTGGAAACCCAAGTCAAGCCAAAAACTAAATGTTAGCAGTCCTGGAGTGATTGGAGCACCTAAAAAGCCAGCCTCACCTGCTGAAAAATCTGAAGATATAGAATCAGACATGGCAAAGCTTAATGATAAACTTTCACAAGTAAATATATTTGAGAACCAAAATGTGATCATAGCAAAGCACATTCGTGTTCCAGAGACTGATCGTTGTCAGTTGACTTTTGGGACCATTGGGAGCGGAGTTGATTCTTCTAGGCATCAATCTGATTGCCAACCGGTAGGAACTGCTGAAAAATCAAATGAGGAGCCTGTAGCAAGGTTTGATCTTTTGTCATTGGATAGCTTTATAATTAATCTCATCATTCTGGTGTGTTGAAAGGACACTTTGTCGGAGAGCTGTAGATTGGGATTTGTGAAGCATGAGATTGAGTCTTCATGTTGTTATTGTGCTATATTGTGGTTGAGAAAAAAGATTTTGGGAGATGCATGTCAACTAAGAAAACAAGTAATAAAATTGAAGAATCTTTGGGTGGATGAGATTTTATCTTGATAAATAGTGGGAAAACATGCACAAATGAATTTGTCTATGCATTTCCCATGGCTAGTCATGATGTGGTTTGACTTGTGATCTCAGCTTGTCAGTACCAGAGCCAGAGCTGAGCAGCGATGTTTCTGGAAGCAAGCAGTTGGAATTACAGGATGACCTCATTCAAAGCACTGGGTCTGACTCACCAGCGTCTGCTGCTGCTGCTGAGCAACAATTACCAGACAACAAGGAATCTCCAAGACCTCACAATCTTGACAATTATGCGGATATTGGGTTGGTACAAGATAATAGATTGTCATATGCACCTTCAGAATTGCAGCGGCAGCAGGATTCACATGATATGCCGGGCTTCTCAGTGAGTGTTTTCTTTCTCTCTCTCTCTGATTGGTCAATGAAATTCCCTGTAGTGTTGTATTTAAAGTTATCAATTATTAATTGTCTGCGACAAGGGGTCTGTGCTTGACACATGATACGTCTATTTATGTTGTGTGGAACTAGTTCAATATTAGAACTTGTGATTTTTGCACATTGGTTTTGAATGTGACTAGGAAGCCTTCAATATTAAGACTTCTTCGAGTAAATGCTGGTGGGCCTTTTCTTTTCCTTTTCTTTTCCCTTCCCCTTTTGGTATCTTTGTTGCACTGTATTATATTTTCTATTATAGTTATAAAGTCTAGAATTAAATCTTGTGGAAAATTTGTTATGAAGCATGTTTCTAAGATTACTTTGGCAAACGTACTGGAGGAGAAATGATGACTATTATAGGGAAAGACATTAAAATTGTAAACATGGGAGAAAATTGCAAGCACTGAATTTTGATTAAATTAGAAAATTAATGTATTTAGACTATTAGAATTGTGTGGTACCTAACACAAACCGATGGACAGATTCATGTCATTTGGAAAAAGGTGAAAGATCAGGAATAAATCTGCAAGATATAATGAGCTTGTGCTGCGTTGAAATGATATTTAGTGGCCTAAGAATGGCAATCTTATGTTCTTTACTATAACTGGTGTCTGTCCAGTAACTAAGCACTGTTCGTGGATAAAACATCTGCGTTATGATGTAACAAATATCTGCATGCTGTTTTGCTTGCATTCTCACTAGTGACTTCGCAAACAGGCATATGATCCACCGACTGGGTATGACATACCCTATTTGAGACAGACAACAGATGAAACTGTACGAGGCCAGGGTCTGCCATCTGCTCAGGAGGTATGCTTGAATTATAAGAGCACGGGTTTTTAGTTTTGGAAAAAAGTAGGGATGTTTCTCTAATCTCTATATTTCTGCGTTATATAAATGTTAGTTCAAGCTGGTCTTGTTTTGTGGTCTTGTGGATAATAACATGTTTTCATGCCTTCAGCTCCAACTGTTTGTGTGTTTTTCCCTCCTCATTCAATCCCAAGTGTTACTATATTTTGATCCTATTCACTTTTAGAGATTCATTCTTTAGCCATGACTTTGCTTAAATTTTTTGGATGATTGCAGGGTTATGGTTCTCATAATTCCAATAATATTTCTACCTCCACAATTCCGATGGTGCAACAACAACCTCCCGTGGCACAGATATATCCGCAAGTTCACGTTTCGCATTTCTCTAATCTTATGCCATATCGTCAGTTTCTATCTCCAGTATACGTTCCACCAATGCCTATGCCTGGATATTCAAGCAATCCTCCTTACCCACATCCATCGAACGGCAGCAGTTACTTGTTGATGCCTGGAGGTGGTTCTCATCTTAATGCCAACAGCATTAAATACGGGGTTCAGCAATTCAAACCTGTTCCTTCTGGCAGCCCTACTGGGTTTGGCAATTTTACAAACCCAACTGGATATGCCATGAATGCCCCTGGTATGGTTGGAGGTGCAACTGCTCTAGAAGATTCATCTCGTATCAAATACAAAGATAATCTCTACGTCCCAAATCCTCAGGTAATGCACTTTTGTTTATTATCTTGACTTTTGCGTGAAAATGTTGTTGGGGTTGTCAATAGAGAAAATGCTAAACAAGATTGTCAGCAAGTTCTTACTGTCAATGCTTTTTAATGTTTACTCAACAAACCCTAATATCTAATCACGATGAAGTTATGGACTTGTGGTTCTCGATAATCTTGCCCGTTACTTTTTATATCTCTCCCTTGTCCAGTTCAGGATCTTGTTCAATTGTCAATTAAAGATGTCGTCCTTCTCCTAACATTTGAATCTTGACCGTGACAATTTTATTTCGAATATGGCAATAGTGGCCTTTTCTTTGGGACTATAATTCAGTAGTCATTTTTTGCGTTTCACAGGCTGAGACATCAGAAATCTGGATACAGAATCCAAGGGAGCTTCCCAGCATGCAATCTCCTCAATACTACAACATGCCGGGGCAAACACCGCATCATGCGGCTTATATGCCGTCTCAAGCCAGCCACGCCTCCTTCAATGGAGCAGCAACACAATCGTCGCACATGCAGTTTCCTGGCATGTACCATGCTTCTCCGCAGCCTGCTGCCATGCCTAGTCCTCATCACCATTTAGGACCTGCTATAGGCAACAATGTTGGAGTGGGAGTGGCTGCAGCCGCACCGGGGGCTCAGGTTGGTGCATATCAGCAACCCCAAATCGGTCACCTCAATTGGACGACAAGTTTCTGAAAGGAGAGAAGGAAAAAGGAAAAAAAGAAAGAAATGGGAATCCTAACCCTTTCCGTGTAAGGGGCTGAAGTAGATAGAGAAAAAAACGGCAGGGTATTACTGAAATTTTTTCCGCCGCATCATGATGCATTCATTGATCTTGTCCATCTGCGGTGGCTCTGGAATTGTTGAGTTTGACTTGGGAAAGTAAAGTTTTAAATATTCTCAAGTGCCCATGCCTTCAGACGAAAAAACAAGAGAAAGTAACCATGCCTTCGAAGAACTCCCTCAAATTCCTGGCGTAAAATGCTTCACAAAATCGAATAAGTCCTTACGGTCAACAAAGATGAATTAATGCTGTTATGGGTAGCGGCTTGAGTGTTGACTGTGAGTGCCCGTTTCTATATCATAATTACTGTCTTTAAAAAATGTCTGCTATTTAAAAGGTATTTGTAATTATGAAAACCTTAGGTTTTGCAAACAGCAATTTTTATGTAATCAGTTCCTCTCTGCCCAAGAAAAATGGGAAAAGGAGGCAAACAAGCATTGGACCCCAGTCGGTTGGAAGTTTAGAAGGTGAAATAAAACAATTAAAGCTACAGACATCAACAGATCAAAGATGTAAATAAAATCAAACTCTTAGTCTCCCACTCATCCAATGAATCATAAGGCTATTTAGCTTTGTTGTCAATATTCTGAAAAAGGTTAGACCCTGCTGGGTTTGTTCAAGAGCCTGCCCCAAAAGAAAGAGAAATAAAGCAGATGGTATAAGAGGCTTTATTAGAGAGAGAAGAGCAGCTTTATTGGGGCACTTGAGAAGAAGCTTTGTTGTGCATTGGGATCGGTGTAGCTTTTTCTTTTTTTGCATAGTTTTTAATATTTTATTAAATTAATAATAATGAGAGTAGGGATCTGATCTGAATCTGATCATTCTCTTTAAAAAGTTTTCAAGTCCCAATCCCAATTCACCCCCACGCCGACTGCTCAATGCTCCTCGTATCAAAACTTCAGTCGGCAGCATAACGTTTTCCTACACACATCATTTGTGTCTTTGTAAAACCGCAGATAAGATTCTAACGTTATCAGATTTAATTGAGAGTGATAATTTTAATAAGAATTTTTTATGCACAAAGTTCTAATCTTGTCTTACTCTATAAAAACTGGAACTCTTTACAATGAGTAGCATTTTTATACTTTTAACCGTCAATAATCACAGTTCATTCTTTACCATTTAATCGATCCTGACAAAATCAAGACTATAAGCAATTGAATTTTTTTCGTTGGTGGGGATCATCTCTCTTTATATGCAGGTATTCAGTGAGTATGGTTAGGTTAAAATGATATTTATGCTCTCCTCTATCTATCTTAATTCTCAATGCACTACAAGGACCAAGGTGCGTGTGTGTATATATCTGCCTTTTTATCATTCCTCTAGCTCTCGTTAAAAGTCGGGGTTTTGTAGTACAGTGATGTGAATCGTCTTTATTTAAGTCTTTTTTAAATATGAAGTTGCAAGTTTGAATCTTCTGTAAACGATGATATGAGTGCGTGAGTTATGATTTGGAAAAAAAAAAAAAAACTCTTGTTGGTAATGCAAAGGTAATTAATTAGTATGAACTTGTTTGATATTTGGCAATTACTCTTCCGGTTCTTAGTAAAAGACCTAATTATTGAGTTGGTTTTGATTCTAAATATGAAACTTATTTATCATATTTATCAATTTTCTCTAAATTACCTCTATATATACTCCCTCAACCATAATCAAGTAGAAGAGGAAGGGGGTATTAAGAAAGATGATTATGGTATTTTAGGAAAAACGTGTCACATTTCTTGTAATTAATTAATTTACCTAATTTCCTTAATCTAATCAAATTAGTTAAATGGGTTTTATATTAAAGACCGGAGGAGTATTTTTTTTGTGGCATCTCCAATATCTTGTTTATTTTAAAATGCTATTTCAGAATGGACAGAATTTCCCGAATAATTTCTTAACGTTCAAAATTGGGCAATAAGCCTCCTGAGCTTTTCATATTACACACTATCTTAATTATAAAACCTAATTTATAGACTATAAATGAGGTCTTATAATTAAAACCTGAGGTAATTTATGATTTGTCTATCGTGGGCTATGCCATTCGAATTACATTGCTTAAAGTTTTAAGATAATTTTTGGTATATGATTCCATGTTTAAACTATTTCGACTTGCACAATTCCAAAAATTTCGAGAATTCACTTGAGTTCTAAGCATAAAAGAATTTTATACTTAGGCATACAATCACAGTCCACAAGTTTTGTGGCATTAAGTAATCATAAAAAATAGAAATTCACATATATTAAAGTTTTATTTTTTTTATGGACAAAATTTACGTCCATTTGCTTATTTTCATTAAATCTAAGATCTCCAATCAAATCTTAGCATATAGACTTTTCTTCATAATAAAGTTCACAATGATAACATTTCAAGGTTCTGTTGAACCATTATTAATATTAAAAATCACACATAGATTTGATTAGAGATTTCAACCTAACAATTATAAGTAAATGGACGTAAGTTTTATTCTTTCTTTGTTACTTATACTACACATAAATTATAAAGTTTGTATGAAATAAATCTAGACACCTCATATATTTTCATATTCTGATGACATTTAATTTAACTTGTATATATATACAACAAACAAGAAGGACAAAAGATGCGATCCCACAAATCAGAAGATTGATTTTTCGAAAAAGTCACTACTCTAAGTATATTATCACGATTTTTAATGGGAAAAATTTCAATTAAGGACCATTATAGTAAATTTATTTCAAACAATTTTCAAAACAATCTGAAATTTACTGTAGGAATAAGGGAGAAAAGTGAAATTAATTGGAAAAAAAAGACAAAATGCCCTAATTAACTGTTGCTCCTAAAATTGAATAGAAGAGGACCAAAAATTAGGAGAAAGTTTCATCCTACTCTTCCCCCTCTTACTCTGAAATCTCTCTCGCATGCTCTTCCCTTTCCCGTCTCAGAAGTTGCCATCTGTCTGCTAGTTGTGGTACTCTAAAAAGTTGCACAAGTAATCCAAAAAAAAAAAGACGTGTTCTTGTGGCAAATTCCCTAATTTCAGTTATAAATAGAAAATATAACAATTTGCTATGTCATCGCTTTCTTTTTAGTTGTGTCTTTATCTATTGAAGTAGTTTGGTAACAGCAACTGACTTCATATTCTAGAACTTGGTTCAGGTGTTTCTTCACTTGCCATGCTCTATGTTTCTGCACCATCCTTATCGATGACAAGAAAAATTCCAGAACATCAGGCTGTAAAATTACTAACTTTATTTGTAAATACACTAATTATTATTGTTAACATCCTAACTGTATATGTTTACAATAGGAATTTATGAACTAATAATAGAAATACAAATTTTCAGAACACTAAATAGCCATTTTCTTAGAAAACTCGAATTTACAAATTTACAATATAAATATATATTTTGACAACATTAAATTACCATTTCTCTGTACATTTAGCTTTCATATAACCTATTCAGGCAACAAGATTCTCAAGCTTATGCCAAACAAAATACCTATTATTACTATAATAAGCAACAATTAAATATCTCATAGAACTAAAACTTTTCATATTTGAGAAATAATAGATTTATTCAAGCCTAATAATAGATCCATATGCAAGTTTTGAGAATGAGAGAACCAGCACAACGGACAGCGATGAATCTCTTTTGGATGACTTTTATGATTTTTCAGAATGCCATAGCCAACAGATAGATGGTGAGTTTTGAGATGCGAAAGGGAAGAGTATGGGAGAGAGATTTCAGAGTGAAAGAGGAAAGAGTAGGATGAAACTTTCTCCTAATTTTCAGTCCTCTTCTATTCAATTTTAGGAGCAACAGCTAACAGGGGCATTTGCGTCTCTTTTTTTTGTCCAATTAATTTTACTTTCCCTTCTCAGTCCTGCAGTGAAGTTTCATATTGTTTTGGAGGCTGTTTGAAATAAATTTGCTGCAATAGTCCTTAATTGAAATTTTTCCTTTTCGACTTGGAATAAAACAAATGGAAACAAACTCAATTAAGAAAATGATAAAATATAATGTCTCCTCAATAGAAAGAAAACGAAGAGATCAACAAGACGAAAAAGAATACACATAAAAATTATTAGAGTTGTTGTGACCAATTCTATCCTTTGAATGAACAGGATACTTTGCTTTTCAAGACAAGATTCAAAAATCCAAATAAAATAGACAAAATTACCTACTTCATGGAATTTGACAATTGAGGGGTTCTACTTTTTGGTTTTGGAAGTTTAGAGTATGTTTTTTCTTTCATTCATTTTAAAAAGAAAGCAAAAACAATTGGCGTGATTTTAACAAGTTATTAATTATAAATTAACTAATTAATTTTTTTCAAATATTAATAATTATGGTAAAAAAAGTAATATCCATTAAAAAACATAAAAAAGCATATGATAATAAATATGACACTTAATTTTAAAAAAATGCCGACCCCGCAGTTGCAAGGAAATAAATTTAATTTGTCCAATTTGGTTTTGATTTGTTAACCGAAAGAGAAAATTAAATAGACTTACAGACATATATAACTAGCTGAGAGTCTACGCTTTATATAAGTACTTTCTTCCGATATCAAGTCTCATCTATAATATAATTGATATCTTACAAGAAGAAAAAAATTATTTCAATTGTACTGGATCAAATACACTTCTTATAACTTATGAATATGCAAGGAACTCCTTATAAAATTATCTTCTACAGTGATATTAAATACAACAAAATCACAGTTTTAAATATTTATGACAATTACTTCATATGAAATAGGGGCAATCCCATTGAGTTTGATATAATGTAATGCCTCAATCATTGACTGGTCTATCTCTATCCATTTACTTTTGCTTCCTAATGATTAAAACCTAATATACACGGTTCATTTAACCATTAATTAGTTGTGCTCTTCTTCCATTAAATCTAGAGATAAAAAGTTATAAACAATTGAAGACAGCAAAAAAAAAAAAAAAAAGAAACTTGACTTTTTAACTAGAAGTGTATAACCCTAATATTGAATCATTCATGCAATAATAACTTAAGTCTCCATGCGAATACTTGAGTACTCTTGCATAATTTATCAAAATTCCAATGTCATATACAGGGAGACCTTAACTTTTAATTAGTTAAAAGTCTTACCTCATTTTCCAATTTGTGATTCAATATAAATGAATTATCAGTAGAGGAGAAAAATTCAATGACGACATAATAGCTTGAGTAGCTAATTTGATCAAGTTTTGCAAATAATCTCCCTTACAAAAAGTTTTGATTTTGAAGTGATCATGAAAATCGGCAAAAGCAATCTTTGATTTTCTGGGGCGTGACCCCCACGATTTTGAAAAGAAATTTGAGCAGACATTTCCAATGTCGAAGCATGGCCTGCCTAAATTTGGCTACTATGCCCATCCTCTTGCGGTGCTTGTATGTACCTATTGTCTTGTAGGCGCGACTTTCAGACTTGAATTAATTCGCTACCTATAATTTTTTGAAAAATTGCGTATGGTGAATTCCATTCAAAATAAATTAAAAAGATGTATTGAGTCGATGTGGAGTGAAGTAGAAAAGTTTCGTATGAAGTATAATTG